AGCTCCCTATGGTGTATTCGAAATGCCAAACGCAGTAACAACAAGTCTCACGATAGAGATGTTACTGGGCCCGCTCGAACAAATTGATGAACAACAGGAGAACCGTGACCGTGATAAAAGGCTAAAATAAAAGTATGATAAAAGGCTAAAATAAAAGTATAAGGTCTTACAGATATAGAGGGCATCCGAAGCAAGAATATAATCAGAAAATGTCCAGGCTTTGTACTGTAAGGTGCCTGCTGATTGTCTCTGTGGGACACCCCAGCCTCTGCTTCTCATGCACCCACTGAATGTAGATGTGCTCAGCAACTGTCCTAATGTCCCTGCCAACTTAAACACTGATTCACCTATTGGTACCCAGTTAGTAGGGAGCGACATTACATTGAATAAACGGCTTCCTGTGAGCTCAATGGGGCTGCTCAGGCCACCATAAATTTTGGACCGTCCTTCTATGTGTGTTTGTTGGTCTCATTGTGTGTTTGTTTGTCTCATTCTCTGTGACTGACTCCAATGGACAGAGGTTGAAGCTTACAATTCTATTGACTTTACAAGGTACATTTCCATGTAGTCTGATGTGGGTACTGACTTTATAGTCTCTGTTCCAAAGACTTAGGGAAAGTCTGGCTGAATCTTCTAACAGCACAGGGACCACAAGCACCGGAAGACTATATTAGAGTTGCTGTATTACATAGAGGCCACAAGATGGCAGACTGACCCCAGAAGTGACAAGTGAGTCCCTGAATCTCAGAAATGCTGAGAGTCACAGGCCTGTGTCAGCAGGGACAGGGTCTCTGTGGTGTGGTGGGAAAGTATGAAACCTTTAGAGTCTGAGTTGGAGCGAGATTTTCACTCTTTTCTGCTTCGGATATAGAATTCCTGTCCTGCTTGTCTTCGATGGACTGCTTTAATTCCCCAAGCAGTTTCACAATGGGAGATAGAGCTGTAGAGTCACTTAAGGTACAATGCGGTCAAAGAGGGCACAGGTGGGAGTATAAAAACACCGGGGATCCTACTCTGTATCCATATGCCCAGGAGAGGCCCTTGGGGACAGGGGAGGGAGGGGCTCCTGCTGACAGGAGGAGGGTCTCAGGGGAAGTGACCCTGAGGGACCCTGACCCTCCTCTCCAGCCTCCCAGAGTGTGAGAATCCCGTGTGTGTGGTGTAAAACACCAGCTTGTGTGTTCCTGGGAGGGAGTCTGAGCTCATGCTTTATACCCAGGCACCCTCTGAGCCAGGTTAGCCTCATGAGGACATAACAGAAGTGGTGGAGGACTTTGCCATTCTCTTTATCTTCACCCCTTTGCTGCTCTAATTTCAGAGGGAAAAGGCCTCAGGTTTCAATTCTGGTTTAAAAGCTAAAAGTCCAACATTGCCTTGGAGATAGTGCTATTGACTCTTTTGTTTACTGATCAGAAAATGCATCAGACTGAATGAATTAATTTCCAGGTGTTAATGTTTGGGTTGTCCTGTTTCCTTGTCCACTGAGGTGTCAGGGAGGACACTTTGTGGCCCTTCACCAACCCCCCCTGGCTGTTTCTAGAGGGGGTCCCTGTCACACACAGGGCCACACAGTGTGAGGAGCATCTCATCCTGAGATCAGCCTAAGGTAGGGTTGCAGAGAAAGTACATGGGTTAAGGGTTATGCCTTTAATTCAACCAGATGATCCCTGGAAGCTCAATTTCCCTGAGTATCAATGGGGGCATTTCTGGAAGTCTCTAAGACCTCTTGGCTGACCTTGGTAGAAAGGAATGGGGGGATTTCCTAGTTGTCATTAGCGCAATTAGCTTCAAAGAACTCCAAGACTTCAACTCTTAGCATTGAATTTTTTGGTTCAACTACCCAAGAATTGCCTAGAGTGTCCAACTCTAGCCTTCAGCACTGGTCAGGAACTTCTGCACCATCCCAGATACAAAGACAAAATCAGTGTTTGTACCTAGGTTACTTTTCATTAGTTTCTACCCTGCTGCTCTGTTAAGATTGGAACAAGGAGTGCAGACACATGGCTCTCTCACCATCACCCGGGAAGTGCTCCAGAGTCACAGACACACCTTCGGGACACTCACCTCATACTCTCAGAACCTATGCTGGAATGTCTGTGGCCTTGGTTTCCCCGATAGCAACATGTCAGGGGACAGCTCTGAAATCTCACTCTCTCTTCTCCCAACCCCTTCCACACACAGCCCCACCATCCTCTGACTCCATGATGGAGCCTGAATATGTGAGTTCTTGGAACTTCTGTTTTGAACTCACTGGCCCCAGATTATCCTGAATCACACTGGCTGTGGTGGCTGCAAAGTTAAGCTCAGGTTTCTCTTACATAATGCCCATTGCTGACCCCAAGTTCTGACCGTCTCCATGAATCCCTGACAGGGTCCTTGTTGGTAAGTGAGGTGCAGGGAGCAGTTAATAATATAGGGATTGGTTACAAACTCCCTCAGAGGGGCAACAAGATCCGTTTGGAACACGATCCTGCTACAGGAAGAGCAATGGTGGCAGGTGGGGAGATCTCTCCTGCTCAAGTCAGGTGTGAGACAGCAAATGGTTCTGGAGGGTCCTGCCCTGAGCCCTGCATAAGGGGAGTCTTGGGAGCTTCTCCTGTTTTACAGAAGAACTCAGGGAGGCCCCAGTCACAAACTGATCACTGGAGAGGAAACTGTCTCCTCTAGACTCCACGATCACTGCAGGGTTTCTCTGGTACCTGCCGCTTCCTGGGAAACATTCCAGACCCTCCAAGGATACTCAGTACTTCAGCATAGGTATGTCCTCCTGGGCTAGTGTTTTATGGGGGTCTGGTTTGGCCTATCAGGTCTGAATTCAGTGGTGGGGGGACCATAGTACTGTGTAGGGAGACCTGGGTTTAGAGGTCCAGGGAAAGCCTCCCCAATGAAAGATCAGTGATGTTGATGGTGTGGTGGGATGGCACCCTTAGGAACCGGGATTCTGACTCATGCAGCACAGGTCTCTGCCCCAGGCCAGAGTGTGGTTCTATCTTCATTCCATACTGACTTCCCACCCCTTGTGGCACCCTGCACCCCATAGAGGTGTTTGTCTACTGCCTAGGAGGATGTTCGCTCCCTGTAGTGTTATCATCTCAGTCTTCTTAAGACACTTGGTTTTATATCTGGGATCTGAGAGCCTCTGTGTCTCTGGCGCAACACAAGTTTCAAGCAAGGGACTTACCTGTGACGGGACAGAGGAAATTCAATGAGAACTCAATCAAGTTGGATTGTCTCAGCCACCACATCTGAACACATGCCCAGTGGAAGAGGATGAAAGATAGGAAGAACGTTCAAGGAGGTCAAGGAATTTTCAGGTCTGTGTCATGAATTAGAGCTGGGAAAGGAACAAGTTGTGCAGATGATAAGGGAAAATCCCACCCTTGGGCTGAGGTGGAAGTAATGGGATAGTATATCAGGTGACAAAGTTATGGGGGATGAGCAGGAGAATGTGTTGGCTATCCAATATTTTCTATCTTAGCAAAAAGTTATGAATCAAGACCCCATAATTTTGTACAATTTTTTTCACTCATTGCATTTCTGTCTGTTAATTTCTCACACAAAATAATACTGGCAATTGGTGAAGGAGACTGACACCTCAACAGACATGAGCTGGGTTCCATATGTGAGCCCAGGACCTACATGGCTTAGAGCACCAGCAGAGAAAAGCCTGACAGTTCCCCACACTGCAGCACCACAAAAGCTTTGCATCCATGGGCCCCAGCATTGAAAAGCTCATCCCGAATGACTGAGTTATGTTTAGAGTGACTGTCGGGTTCTTTGAGCACTGAAAGAGAGTCCCTACCACAGAAAAAGAAAATTAAAAACATAAAATTTTAAGCCCTTCCAAAGCACAGTTATATATATATATATATATATATATATATATATATATATATGTATATATATAACACTCAGCTCCTGGGAGAGAACAAGACAGAGTCTCCTACCCTATGCCTGACTGTCTCCACCAGGGCCCAACAGCTGAAGACCACCGAGGCCCAGCCAAGGCCATGCTGAGACCACTTTCTACACACTTGGATGAGCCTCACGCATAAAAGAACTGACAGAGGAACCCAGGTGTGTGGGACCCGGGGCTGAGATCTCCAAGCCTGCACGGTTTGGGACTGGACCTGCCAGTAACTAGACAGTTACACCCACCAACTGCCGTGTAACTCCAACAACGGCCAGGTTCCAGAGATTATCACACTCAGCTCCCGGACATCTTATGACATCTTATCATCTCATTCCTAATTTGGTCAAACTGGCAGGCTACCAAATGTAACATGCCCACACGGCAGAGTCTGGCAAACTCCCCGTGGTATACCCAATATGCCAAATACCAGTAACAATGATGGGTCTCATTCTCCTAACCCTGAAAAAGCCTTGAATATGGCACTTTAAAAAAAAAAAAACTCAGGGCTAGGACGAAGAAGACGTTACTGGCACCTGCTCGAGGCAATCGACGAACAACAGGGTGGTCGTGATCGTGATATATATATATATATATATATATATATATATATATACACATACATACACACACACACACACATATATATATACATATATATATTCCAGATCAAAAAGAAAATCTCTTTGTCTCAAGTATATACACAGCTGTGAATTAAAGAAGTATGTGAATTTCCTGAGAGTATCTGTGTGGCTGTGGTCTGACAGAGCCTGTCCCTGGGGCAGAGAGAACAAGAAACTGTGTGCTGACTCTCAGGAGACCAGGGACCCACCCTTCATTGCTCACACTGGGGCCCTCCTGGGGCCCAGGGAGGAGCATGTTCTCTGTGGGAAAAGTTCTGCTTCCCCACAGGGACCCGCACCCCTGACTTCCCTGCAGCTGGGCTGGTCCCCAAACACACCCTCCCCCCTCTGACTGCCCAGCCTGACCAGCCCCCTCTCATTTGCAAGTGCTCAGTGCTCATGCCTGGACACTCAATAATAGTCTGTGTCACCCTGCAGGGTCAGTGTCTGTCACACCCAGAGTGGACATGAGGGCCCCTGTGCAGTTCCTCAGCTTCCTGCTTCTCTGGCTCCCAGGTAAGGAGGGACATGAGGGTTTTCATGAATTTGGACTGCCTGGCTCTTCATGGAAATTATCTAACTTATGATTAATGATAATGATGCCCACTTATATTTTTTACCTCAGGTGCCAGTTGTGATATCCAGATGAGCCAGCCTCCATCCTTGTCTGCATCTCTGGAAGAGAAAGTCACCATCACCTGCAAGGCCAGTCAGAGTGTTAGCAGTTACTTATCCTGGTATCAGCAGAAACCAGGGAAAACTCCCAGGCTCCTCATCTATTGGGCAGACAGTTTAGGACCAGACGTCCCTCCCCGGTTCAGTGGCAGTGGATCTGGGACAGATTTTACTCTCACCATCAGCAACCTCAAGCCTGAGGATGCTGCCACTTACTACTGTCTACAGTATGATAAGCTCCCTCCCACAGTGATACACACCAGAACATAAACCCCCAGAGATCAGCTGTGTGAGGCTGAGCTGCTCCAGCTGCTCCTCCTGGTGCTTCCTCCTCTGAGGGTGTGTCAGATGCAGCCAAGCTGTGCAATGATGGCCAGTCCTGGTATATGTTGAAGAAAAAACTTTGGCTCCATTATTCTCCTTTTCATCCCAGCAGTACAGACATGACCATAGATCTGCTGATTGAATTTACAGACATTGTTTTTTTGAAATAAGTAGGTAAAAGTGTCATTCAAATGTCATGCATGTTGGCCTGGGCATCCTAGGAGGCCTAGAAACCATGCTTTAAAAGATATTTTTTAATAATCACACATATTGCCACCCCAGTTTTGAGCACACGTGAGCAGCGTTATAGCCTTACACTGAGGGTGTCTCACAGGGTGTATCCTCCCCTGTCATGCTATCCTGTCTGATGTGGGCCAGAGGGAGAGACTGCATCTCCCCAGGGTACAAACCCTCACAATCCTGTACTGTGGGGGGAGGGGAGGAAGAAGGGGGGCAGGTGTGATGAGATCCACTCACTTGACTGAGGATATTGATCCTGAAATTTTATAGGGAATAAAACAATTTTAGTGACAGGAATTGTGGTATACTATCCTGGATACCCTTGAAGTTGTAAAGGGATATAAACTTCATTTCAAGTTGTGTGTGTAGGATGACATTGCTTTGTCCTTCCTCCTCAAGGAGCTTAGGTTTATCTGGTTACACCCATCACAGTGCTCCTGAGGCACTTCCATTCCATTGTGTTTATCTGTAAACAGTCTTCACTATGCTCTCCTCCCCACCCAGTTAATCAGCTTTCCCCCTAATCAGACTCTGTTAACTTGTAATGTCAAATTCCTCAGAAATCTATGATTTTATATGTATGAGTGAAATATTGCCCTTCTCCTCTCCTTATGTCTTATGAACAGCTTACTTTAAAGCAATGCCCTTTTTGCATAGATACAGGAAGACCATTAACATTATTCTTTGGAAATTAGGATTTGATTGGCTTTGAATATTATTCACTCCCAGGCATCTGCTTTCTCGACTTAAGCCTCAATTGCCCTTAGTTCCTAACACCCCAAAAGCAGGGTCCCAACGAGGGACTGAATGGCCCCAGGTGATATACCTTGGCATAGAAATGGGCCAGGCCAAGTGCCATGATTTTTAACTATAAGTTACGAGTTTGATCATAGACAAATGCTGTCATGATCCAAAGTAATGATGAGACTAGGATCCTGCTAGGGGTGGAAAAGACTATCTGGCCTGAGCACTGTAGTCTGAGATAGAGATGGCCCTAGGAGGGCAATTCTATAAGTTTAAGATATTTCTTACTGTATCCATACAAAATGATTTATATTATATATACTTATATGCTTGTCAGACAAGGAGAGGAGAGATACACCCATGGGATTCCGCTCTAAGGTGGGTCGTCCTGCTGAGAGAGGATCTGTCCTAGGAGCAGCTTTCCCTGAAGCTAAGAATTCTACCCCTATTGATTGTGACCGCACCTATGTGTAATTGTTCCCACAATTTCTCATGGAGAGAGATATAATGAGACTGTAGAATGGGCAAAGAAGGCAGAGGCAGAGAAGAGAGACTGGTGTGGATGGAGAGAGAATTAGAATAAACTGTGACTAAGACCAACCAGTCTGGCCCTCTTTCCTTCCTTTGCCTGCCCATCGCCATCGACCTCCCCGGGGTGGGGGAAGAAGGGTGAGACTACCGAATGCGGGCGATGGGAGAGATAGAGCCACCACCGCTGTGTGCCGTGCCCCTTTTTTGAGTTTACACAGTGTGTGTGTGGCGGGAAGGAGTCAGGCAAGCAAGAGGAAATATAGAAAAGGAAAATGTCAACATCCTGTACTTAGCCCAAAGTCTTATACCAAGGGCTCATGGGAAATACCCTGGGTCACAGTGCCTGAGCTTCTCTGCACAGACAGGCCTAGATGCTCTCAGAGGGAATGTAAATCTATGGAAATCATTGTTACCTTCAGAAATTCCACATTATTGATGATATTTTCCTAGTCTTGTTGGCCAAAAGCCCACCATTTATCTAGCAATATTGATTTTCCTTTGATTTGAACCCTAGAATGGGAACATAAAATATGGGGTGACATTTTGGGGACGCGTGAAAGATCAAATACGACATCATTGGTCTGACCGAGAAGAAAAGGCATCAACCACATCATGCTATTTTACACACTAGAGAAGAACTATTCCTCGGAACATGCAACAAAAGAGGAGTCGGTGGTGTTGGTGTCCTTGTCAACACGAACTTGGCCATGAGCATTGATTCATTCAAATGACTAACAACCCAAATTGGATGATTACACTTGAATAGATGTGGCTCATGCTGGTAGATTCTATCTTCATTGTCTACCCACCAACATCCAATTATGATGAAGGAAAAATTGAGAAGTTCTACGTGGAGCTGGAGAAGTTCTATAAAGAAAACCACACCTTCTACAAAATCATTGTCGGTGATTTTAATACCAAGATAGGGCTGAGAAGATCAGCCGAAGAACTCCACATTGGGATCCATGACCTAGAATGGAACAAACAGGGTGAGAGACTACCTGAGTTCATCATGTCGACTGAGACCATCCATGGTAACTCACAATTCTAGAAGGCCAAATCTAAACATTAGACATGGGATTCTCCCAGTGGACTGTTCTACAAAAAAATTGACCACATCATATTCAGTTGATGGTTTTGCCTGACCGATGTTGATCTTGAACCAAAATTCCAAATGGGATCTGATCACTGTCTCCTTCGTGCAAAATTCTACTTCATGGATTGGGGAGAAAGGGCTGCAAAGTTTAAAGAGAGAATGATCATCTACTGGGAGCTCTTTAGCACTATTCAGGCAACATGGGAAGATGCCATCGTTGGCAGCATTGACGAAGAATATGATTACTGGTTCAGCACCTTGACGATTGTGCAAGGAACGCTGAGAGAGAGAAAGCCACAAAAAGACGCCTATCTTTGAAAACTCTTGAGCTCATTCGCCAAGGTGACTTGGCGTGAGCTTCGGGCAACCAAAAGGGAACATCTGAGCTAGCAAAGCAGTGCAGAGAAGTGAAAAAGGAAGACCTCAAAGAGAGAAGAGCAGCACGGCTGGCAGATGAAGCAGAAACCTTGAAAAGCACTCTCAATGCCCACCTGTCCTTCGCCAACTACAAGACCAAGATGACTGCCCTCCAACATCCTGATGGATTTATCACATCTTGCGGAAGGGCAATGGAGAAAATTATCCATGACTTCTACTCGGATATCTTCGATAGCCACATCTACCTGCCCACATACCAAATTCCGCAGGATGGATATGTCGTTCCCAAAGTTCTCCCTTCCAAAATTTGATACACCATTTTGTCAGTAGAGAAGGGAATAGGACCCGGCCCAGACAAGATCAGACCCGAACACCTGAAGAACCTACCATCAGTACTCATCAATACACTGGCTCGGCTCTTCACACATTACCTGTCTGAATGCAAGGTTTCATCCCAGTGGAAAACCAGCAGGACTGTCCTACTGTACAAGAACGAAGACATCCACGACATTGGCAACTATTGCCCAATCTGCCTGTTGTCTGTCGTCTACAAGCTGTTCACTTGAGTCATCCTGAAAAGGATTGGCAGAACACTAGATGAAGGACAACCATGTGAGCAAGACAGGTTTCAAAAAGAATTCAGCATGATCGACCATATTCATACGATAACCAAGCTCATTGAGGTTTCTCTAGAGTTCCGCTTTATCTAATGTTCATTGATTTAAAGAAGGCCTTTGATTCTGTTGAGACTGAAGCTGTCATCGAAGTCCTAGCCAAAGAGTGCGTTCAAACTCAATACATCAGCATCCTCCATGAGCTCTATTGCAGACTCAGTTCCAGGATCTCACCATTCTACAGGAGGTGATCATTGACATCAAGAGAGGGGTTCGGCAGGGAGATACCATTTCACCGAAAGTTTTCAGTGCCACCCTCTAGAACGTCATGCGACGACTGGAATGGGAAGGAATGGGAGTGAAGATAGATGGTCAAGAACTACACCACCTCCGCTTCACCGATGACATCATTCTAATAACACCAAACATTAGCCAAGTGGCACAAATGCTGGCTGACCATGATATACAGTTACAAAACTTTCATGTTTGAGTTTCAGTCATCTGATGATCAAATACCCATCCTTACACCAGTACACATTCTTCACCACCAAAATCCCCAGTATACCCCTAATTTCAACCCTCCCCCTGCCTCTATTGCAGACAATTTTCCCCATACTCTCTCTCTACATTTGGGCATTATGGTTTGCAATATAGATACTGAGAGGCTATCACATTTGTTCCTTTATCTACTTTCAGCATACATCTCCCATCCCAAACATTTCCTCTGACAATCATTGAATTAGTAATCCCCTCTCTATTCCAACTGCCTTCTTCTCTAGTTCATGAGACAGGCTTCCAACTATGTAGCAATTTTCCTGGACCTTGTTTCTACTGTCCTTGGGTGTCAGTCTCATATTATGTTATTTTACATTCCACAAATTAGTGCAGTCCTTCTATGTCTGTCCCTCTCTTTCTGACTCATTTCACTTAACATGATACTCTCCATGACCATCCACTTATAAGTAAATTTCATTACTTCATCTTTCCTAACAGTTGCATAGTATTCCATTGTGTCGATGTACTAACATTTCTTTAACTAGTTGTCTGTTCTCAGGCACTTGGATTGTTTCCAGATTCTGGCTATTGAGAACAGTGCTGCAATGAATATAGGAACAGATATCATTTCTACTGTGCTATTCCCAGAAGTCGGATAGTAGGGTCATATGGAAGCTCAATTTCTAGTTTTTGAGCAAATTCTCCTTGTATTTTCCTTTGCATTTTCCTCATTTATGTTCCTATATCCTCTTGTATTTTATCAGAAGTGCTTTCCATTGCTTCTTGGAGCTCCTTATGCATCCTTAAAAGATCCACTCTAAAATTCCTTATGTGAGAGGTGATGTAGT